GGGGGTCAAAAGAAAATAAGACCCTGTCTTATTTTCGGAGAAACACGGTAGGACCATAATTGAGCCCAAAATTTTGATTGTAAGTCATGATGGTTGTAAAGAGAGTTACCGCATGACTGCGCTTACTCTCAAGACTGGTTTTTGTGGCGGTTTTAAACAAATGCCATGGTTGTTAATCCAACGCCTGCTATGGGGCTGTTTTTGCCGGAAAAAAACCAAACTAAATCCTGGTTTCAAGCAAAAACATCATAAAGTGTGGTCACATGATGCTTGCTGCAAACATTTGCTAATGCTGCCCAATTGCTGAGCACACATAATGAAGTCATGTGACTGCAGCCGTTTTTCTTGACCGTTTTTCTTTTCGTGAGCCAGTTGTAAATCGAGGTCCTCCTGTAGGTACCATGGATGAGTACCTTCAAGGGTCTGTCCTTTCTCATCATGGCTCTTAGTCTTGGAAGCGAGATGTTGAGTGACATCCTTTCACAGAGAATGTTGCATTCTTTGTAGCAGGATACATGGAAATGCTTCCTGAATCAGGAACATGGCTGTATTACTGCAGGATCTTGGTCAGTTAGTCCTGGTATACAAATGACGCAGCAGGATGATCTGCCCCCCGCAGTGGCACATTGGAAACTTGGGACATAATCTCTTCAAGAATGAAGTCTATAAACTAGGTTTATAAACCTCTTCAAGTGCAACAGCAAGCAAGCTCAACATTTTGGAAGCTGAAGAAGGCGGAACCAAGCAGAAACTAAATGTAGTGTAATTGACGTGTAAATATATTTAAAAATAAAGTTAACTATTTAGTAGCCATATTGATTCCAGTTTATGCAAGGTTTTGAAGACTGCATGAAGCCCTCAGGCATCAAGCTATTTACCCCTGTGCACGAACACCCAATTCTAATTTGGAAAACTATGCTAAAGCTATTGGAAGTTTGCAGGATGTCTCCTGCAAAATTTTTGCATTTACATTAATAAATAAGAAATTTTAGAGGAAATTAAGATAGCACATCTAAGAGTTGCATTTTTTAAAAAGCAAACCAGTATTGTCCAAGAGCTTTTAACAGCCTAAAAATCTTTCACATTTATTCTCATTAATTCCAACACTGATTAACACCTCATTATTAATCAAGTGTGGAAGGAGAAATCAACCTCAGGACTTGACAGTTTGAGATAGTTTGAGCCTGAATTTAGGGAAAATGAATTTCCTGAATAGTTTCAATTAATTTTTACCTTGATGCCTGTCTTTTCAGATTGCATGATTAATCAGTTGCATCTTACTGCATTATTTTTCTCTGTTCTCTTTGACCTCTAACGGAATATTTTCCATAAGTAATTAAAGGTATTTGGAGAAAATTTGTTGGAGCTCTTTTTTAAAAACTGAGAAGAGCCTCTGTTTCTCATGGTATGTTCTAATTTCTTTTCATGTGTGCAAGAAAATGGGCTGAAATAATAGAGTTCACTTAGAAATCTTAGAAATGGAATCCATGTCCAGGAACATCCGTATTTTACTTTTTTAAAAATCAGTGGATAGTAGCCCTGTGTTATAATAATACATCTGAGAATAGTTCATTAATCTGTGTAACGTTTCTCATATTGAAAATCAAGGTAATAGCATTCTTGCAAGTGTAATCAAGTTCTATTAAGGTTTTTCCAAAGGTTTTTCAGCAATGCCATATAGTTGCTTATGAACAATATTTCTTCTGTTTCCTGTTCTACTCTGTGAGAATGATTCTGCTTTTTAATGAATTTATTCTACAGATCATAGTGGGGTAGCAGTTTAAAATTTGACAGGGTGGAATTGAGTCATTCTTAAATCCTGACAGTCGCATGGACAACTCTTTGCAGATCCCTACACATTTTCAAAATTCATTTGCCATTGCCTAGGGCTAATAAAGGAATGGTTTAAGATTGCCAAGCTGGCTTTTTTGCTTAAGGCAGGACTACTACTCAGGATTCCCTGCTTCTAAAGTAGCACCTTAATCCCTAGACCCTGGTGGCTTTCAGTGTAAACTCTAGCATTGTTAGATATCAGGGAAATCATTAATCCAATGCAAATTGGCTGAAGGTCAGGTAATGTGATCAATAAAAGTATCTCTCTCTCTCTCTCTCTCTCTCCCTCCCTCCCTCCCTCCCCCCTCTCTCTCTCGATAGACACAGATATATGTGTACAGTTAGTATCTTGGGTTTCTTCCCGTGTAATTGTAAACATATCCTTAAAAGAGTAATATGACGTTTCGACGAAATCACATTCGTCATCTTCTGGCTGATGTTCTCGGTTTGGTGCTTATGGGCAAACTGTGCGATCATAACTGACATTTTTCTATGAAAAGAGGCAAAGGTATATTCTGATTGGTATTCTGATTGGCTGATGACGTAGCTGTATTTTGATTGGGTGGAAGCGCTGTTGCTTGGTTGTGGGTCAATGGATAAGTTATGCTGGAACTGGTGGCAACACAGGCATTTTGGATGAACCTTTGATCTATGGTTTATATTTTGTGTTAAGATTCGTCTGTCTATGAGAGCAGGTTTCCAAATAGTAGGCAGACGGGAAGTGTCATCACGTTTATTCATACAATATGGTCTTTTCTCTATTTCAATGGCCTCTCTGATTATTCTGCCATTGAGATGTTCTATTTTTGCAACTGTTTTTGTGTTATTAAAATTAATATTATGTCCTGTGGCATTTATGTGTTGTACTAATGATGATGTGTGTTTTATCTTTGGTACTGAGTTTTTATGTTCCTCGATGTGCACACTCATTCTTCTGTTGGTCTGTCCAATATATGTTGAGGGGCAGGAAGCACAGGGGATTTCGTATATGCCTTGATCTTCTAATTCTATTTTGTCTTTAGGGTTTCTCAGAATAGACAATATCTTTCTATCTGTGCAAAATATGGTTTTGATGTTGTGTCTATGCAGAACTTTGCTAATTCTATCGGTTGTTCCTTTTATATAGGGCAAGATGGCTTTCCCATTGTTTTGTTCCTCTTGTTGATTTCCATCTGGGTGTTGCATGCTGGATCATACTGATGATTTTATTTCTACAGAACCCATTTGATGTCAGTACGTTAATTAATGTATATAATTCTGTTTGTAAATGTGCTTCATCAGCCAGACATTTAGTTCTTGTGGTTAATGTTTTGGCAACAGAGTTTATTTGTGCTGGAATGGTGATGTGATTTAGCATTGAGATAGCGGTTCGTTTGTGTCTTCTTTTGATAGATGGTATGTCCTAACGTGCCATCATATTTTAAATAAATTAATACATCGAGGAAAGGCAACTGATTTTCTGATTCTATCTCCATGGTGAACTTTATTTTGGGATGGAGGCTGTTCAAATATACTAAGAAGTTTTCCAGTTTATCTCTTCCATGCGGCCAGATCACAAAAGTGTCATCAACATATCTAAGCCACAATTTTGGCTTGTTAACAGTTTTTTCTAAAGCATTGGTTTCAAAATCTTCCGTGAAAAGATTAGCGATAACCGGTGATAATGGAGATACCATTGGTGCACCTTCTATTTGTTTATATCTCTGTCCTCTGTGTATGAAATATGTGTTGGATAAATAGATATATATAGATATATACATACACAGATATATATAGATATATACGGTTCGATTTATATGCCGCCCTTCTCCAGAGACTCAGGGTGGCTTACAATGCATTAAGCAATAGCCTTCATAGTTTTGTATATACCTGCTTAATAGGGCTTTCGCCCCCCCCCATTATATATATATATATATACACAAAGTCAGCTTATTGCCTCCACAATCCGGGTCCTCATTTTACCTATGGAAGGCTGAGTCAACGTTGTGTTTTGTGTTTTGTGTTGTGTTTTGTGTCCCCTTTAGTTGTTTGAGCAGTGTATAAACTACTGTATGTAATGAACAAAGTATTTAATAAGGCTATTTCATTCATTCAGATCTCGGATGTCTTCTGCTTGTGTTCCCTTTATTTTTTTGAGCAGTATATATATATCTGTATGCATGCATATATATATACATACATATGGTTATACTCACACACTAAAACAGCTATAATGACTGTATTTGTAGGGTTGTGTCTACAAATCCTTACAGATGTCTCCTAATGTTCAACAGTGCATACAAAGTGCTGTTGTTTGAACCATAAAAACAGCCACATATATTTCCAGATTTGTGAAGATGCTTCATAAATTATCCACAGATGTCTCTGCATGCATGGGCATGCATGGTAAGGCTATGTGGGAGTTGCATATAGAGTGCAATTTAGACTCAAAGAGGAGAAGGAGATTTAGAACATGTATGGCATATGTATATGTGTGACCTGCCATCTTCTCTTTACATCAAAGAGATCTTTTTCTGTTAGGGTACAGTGGCAGCCACATTTATTTATTTATTTATTTAATTATTGCGATTTATATGCCGCCTTTCTCCCTAGGGACTCAAGGCGGCTTACAAAATGACAACTTCAATACAAATCACAATACAATACCAAATTAAAATCAGTAACCCAATTAAAAAACGATTTAAAATTATACCAGTGTACCCCCAAACGGATCAGTTTAATTGGCGGAAGAGCCACGTCTTCAGCTCGCGACGGAAGGAAAGAAGGTCCTTTGAGGAGAACAGACATAATAACCTTGAAGGAAGAATGCAGGATTGGTTGCATCAACATCATTTAGGCCCAACAAAGACAAGGGGTTGAGTAAGAAACTCAAGATTGCCTTCCCTTGATTCTATTTGGCATAAGAGGGGAAAGCAAGAATGTCAGGCTTTTACGATTCTGTTGTTATACTCTGCAATAATAAGAAGGAGGTCCAGTAGTCCTTGTGGAGTCTATTTCCTGGCAGACTAGGCTAATTAGAAGGAGTAAACATGGAGGAAGAAAGTTGTTGAGTAACATAGTAAGTGTGGCTACTGGCACTTTGTTCTTAGAATCCAGTTCACTGCATAGCCCTAGTAGAAGCTCTGGTAAGTCTTTTGTACCTCAGTTTCCTATTTATTCTCTTCTAGACAAGACAAGTGTGATTCTACCTTCAAGAAAAATATACACTGTGACTCTGCCTCCTGAAGGTTATGTACCAGTTGCTACTAATGAAAACAGTAAAGGATCTTCTGGAAGTGGTGCTGAGGACAGTAATACTGGTGCTCCAGGTAAGAGAAAATGCTTCATCTTTCTCTAAAGCAGCTAGTGCTTAAATATATGCGCTGCAGATAAATGGAAAGTTGCATCAGTTTACGGGCATGTACAACCATGTATGAAGTAAAGTGTGTCTGCTAGAATATACAATTATATAAAGAGACAATCATCCTAAAATCAGTACAGAATCCAGATTGAAACATTGCAGACAGATGCTCAGCTCTCTGAGTAATTGTTTCAATGGTAAAATGCCTTTCATGTTATGTTAACTTTGTACAGGCAGGAATTTTGTTACAGTGCTTTAACAGTAATCAGAATAGAGCTGGAAGGGATCTTGGAAATCTTCTAGTCCAACCCCCTGCTTAAAGAGATCCTCTACCATTCCAGACAAGTGGCTGTCCAGTCTCTTCTTTAAAACCTTCAATGATGAAGCACCTACAACTTCTGAAGGCAAGCTGTTCCATTGGTTAATTGTTCTCACTGAAGTTTCTCCTTAATTCTGCTACTTTCCTTGATTAGTTTCCATCCATTGCCTTCTGATGTTTTGGAAAATAAGTTGACTTCTCTCTTCTTTGGGCATCCCCCCCAATACATCCCCCCCAATACTGGAATACTGCTATCATGTCACACCCTAGTCCTTCTTTTAGGCACTACTCATTTTGTTCTTCATACTACTGTAAATGTTAACAAAGGATGAGTCTACTTGCTGCAAGCATTTCAAATACATCAAGTGATACCCTGAACTAAAAAAAAATTCACATAAAAATGGAAAGAGTGGATGTTAAATAATTTGGATTTGGTATGTAGCTTAATTCTGTATGTAAAATTTCAGATAGGTGTAACATTTCTTTACATTTCATAGCACAACTTAATGTGATATATTTCCTATTTGTATTAAGAGGAGACTGATTAAACAGCAGAAAAAATATTTATGTTTTTCCCATTGTTAACAGCCTTATCTGTATAGAAAGATACGTATTAACCTTATCAAGAGGTCAAATATTCCTTTAAGAGCAGTTTCAGGCCAATTGACATGTAAATTACCTGTCAATTCTAGTAGAAATTGAATAAACTTTAGGCATATGTAGCAGTTACCTTTCTTCATTTAAGGACTGCTTCTGGGCAAATAAATGTCTTCCCGGATGATTTTTACGAAGGAAGCAGTTGGTTTGTGGAAGAAGACTGTCCTTTTGAATAGTGACTACCTGGAGTTCAGTTCAGCCATGTCCATTTGTGTACCATGTGATCCTGTAAGGAGGAGATTTCTTGTATTAAGTAGACACCCATCACACAATGACTGCCTCTGAGTTGGTAATATTACAGAAAGCACCAGATACTTAAGTAAATAGGGACCAACTTCATGGCATGCAGGTAACAATATAGCTAATACTGTGGAGTCCTTGGTATTCTCTGAGCTTGGCTGTTTACTTACAGATGTTTTGTTACCCAACTAGGTAACATCATCAGTGCTAGAAGGGGATGGGGTTACTCTGCTCTTATACACTGGCTTGTCCTGTCAATTTTTGTGGGAGTGTTGTTTTTTCTTGTTAGTTCCTTAATTAGGCTGAGAGAGGAAAAAATACTGTAGGAAAATGTGGCAAATCTAGATGTTTCACATCTCTGCACCCATTTGGTTACCAGTTTAAATGGACAGTTTTTTATCATTCTGACAGAATGAAAGATTTGATGTCAAATTGCCTAAGTGGGAGCTAAGAAGGCAAGGAATATCAAGAGGAATTAATTTCAGTATAGACTATTATCTGACTGCACACTTTCTTAGGATTTTCCCTTCCCCCCCCCAGTTTTATTATAGTGCTAGTAGAGAAGATTATAATTAACATAATTATGAGGAGATAGTTTATTTCTTTAACTTTGGCATCAAGTCTTGTTTGCCTGACATATAATTTGTATTTTATTGCTGTGTTGCTATAGTGCAGCAGATATGAAGGGCACTATGTTGCAAAGGCTGCTTTAAGACATGTCCTAGATAGCAAAAGAAATAATACAAGGGTTGCATGAAACATTAGAATGACTTGCTTAATTTGACCTTTTAGTGAGTCTGCTAATGTTTTTTTTCCCCCTCTGGGATTCAGTATCAGGGCAAGATTTAATGAACCAGCCATCTAATGAATGTAGTTAAATCAATAACTTAATCACTTCAAGCTGTTTCAATTCTTGATTCTGCTGTTCCAATATATTTTGGTGCTCTGTTCATTTAAGCAGACTTTTTATAGCATAAAGGTATAGTCTCTGGTTTATGAAATAAGTAAAAAAAATGACAAAGGAATTAGCATTAATCATGTTTGTGTGCTGTACACTTAGAATCAAGGGATTGCTTATTTTGTATAATGTGTTAGTCTACTAATCCAGGTGATTAATTATGATCAAAATAGTATTCAGTTTTTAGACTAATAATTGAGTGATCGCTGTGGTGGTATAAGCCAATAATAAAAGCTTTCTTGTTTTTTTTAATCTTTTTCTGCCTGTGTTGACTTTATGGTGTCCTATCCACTGCAGTTCATAACTTAGCCATGGGATATAGTGCAAGAGTCCATAACGTAGCCATTTTAGACCTGAGTTAAGCAGACCAGGATGTGGAGATAGAACCACAGCATACCATAGCCTCTCGGAAGGCGTTGCTTTGAGTTTCACAGTGGAGGAAAGCTTTTTGTGTACTGCTTAGAAACCGAAACTTATAATAACTTGAATGTTCTTTTTCATAACCAGAGAGATTTTGAGAAGATTTATTTTCCTCTTGATCAACAAGAGTTGCTTAATGCTGCATAGAGGGTGCCACTTGGAAACAAAAGTCTAACGATATGACCATACAAACAAAATTTGTACCTGCGATTATATTCAATAATGGCTTTGTTTCGGTTAGACCAGAAAATAGAATCCACAAGTTTGAGTAGAACTGTATTAATAATGACTATAATAGTTTAATCTGAGTATAATTACATATATCTGTATATAATAGTCACTCCTCGTGTGATGGGTGGATATATAAATTTAATTAAATAAATAAACAATGTTGAAGGCCTGACTAAGTTTTCCCTTCCCTCCATTTTGGTGAGGATAGAGCCAGTTTTTCATTCTATTTTCAGAGTTTAAAACCTGCTTGTATTTATGCAACCATTGTCTCACTTAGTTTTTCCAAGTTTGTGATATCACTGCAAGAAATGCAGTATGTGCAGTGTTCCTTTCTTTCAATTCTTGCCTCATTTTTCTCTTCTCCCTGCCCTTCTTATCCAACAGTCTCCACCACTCTCCTCTTTTCTGTCTCTTATTCCTTTCTCCCCCTTCAGATATGCTGCAAGCTTCCTGTTGTCGTAGCAACGTAACAGCAGACCATTTGCAAAAAGGAGAAATGAGGGGTTGCAGGCGTAATCTTGTTAGTTTTCCAAAGGACCTCCTAAAAGCTTGTGAAGATGCACATGTTCTTTTACTCACATCGTGCCTTATCCACAGCCTGATCCCTCATGTTGATTGGATAGCTTTTTATATTGAACATTTTGACTCCATCAGATAGAACAATAGGGTTGGAAGGGATCTTGAAGGTCTTCTAGTCCAACCCCTTGCTTAAGCAGGAGAGACCCTTCCAGACAAATGGTTGTGCATTTGAAAACCTCCAGTAATGGAGCACCCACAACTTCTGGAGACAAGCTTAATTTTTTTTTTTCACTATCAGGACATTTCTCCTTTAATTCTGAGTAAGATCTCTCTTTAATGATTTTCCACCCATTGCTTCTTATATTTAGATAAGCATTGCTTTAGTTTATACCTTTGGGCAGATGCCTTAAAGCAGGAATCTTCACCTTTTTCAGAGATAAAGAATGTGTGTTAATTTTGAGACTGTTTGATAACATGGGGAAGGAAAGGATTAGATCAGTGGTTCTCAACCTGTGGGTCCTGACCCCTTTGGGGGTCGAACGACCCTTTCACAGGGGTCGCCTAAGACCATCGGAAAACACATATTTTCAATGGTTTTAGGAATAATTTTATGGTTGGGGGTCACCACAACATGAGGAACTGTATTAAAGGGTCATGGCATTAGGAAGGCTGAGAATCACTGGATTAGATGAATAGTAAAAAGAAGTATCTAATAAAGTTGGAGATAATTGGTTTCTTTGCTAAAAGACTTCACAAGAGTAGGTGTTCTCTAATCTCAGTACTCCCTTCTCCATCTAGTCCACAATCTTGGATCCTGCTGTGGCATCTCTGGAACTTGGCAATTTAGGATACCGTCCCCCCCCCCCAGCCCATTGGTAGAGAGCCATTTAGGAAAGCTTTGCCACTTGGTTAATCCATAAAGATTTTGTTGGGCTCTTGTGTCTGGTTAGTCATCATGCTAAGACATTTGATTTAGCATGAAGTGTCACTTCTCCCCTATCGCCATGTCTTAACATTGACTAGTTTGACAAATCATGATTAATATTCTTATAAATTCTATTTATGTCAGATACCGTATTTTTCAGTTCCTTGAGCAAATCTGAACTGAGGATTGTTCCTAAAAAAACAAAAACAAAAGCAACATTTCTTAGTTCTCTAGAACGGTCATAGGCCAGTACTGTACAACCATTTGGTTTTCCTTCCCTCTTCCAAAACTGAAGTAATGATCTTTTCTTCCACATTGATTACAACAGGAGCCATGGCAGTGCAGTGGTTAGAATGCAGTATTGCATGCAGACTCTGCCCAACAGCCAGGAGTTTGATCTCTGTCTTCCATCCTTCCAAGGTCAGTAAAATGAGGACCTAGATAGTTGGGAGCAATATGCTGACTCTGCAAGCTGCTTAGAGCACGGGTGTAAAATTTGATGGTGTCACGTGACATATCGCGACATTTTTTGCCTTTGTGGAACTGGGATGGGTGTGGTCTGTATATGATGCATCTGGCCCGTGGGCCGCCAGTTTGACACCCCTGGCTTAGAGGGTGCTGTAAAACAATATTAAGCAATATATGGCTCTAAGTGCTACTGCTATCTGTATCTTGTCTTCCTTGGAAGGAACTGAAGAAAGAAAGCATGTTGCTACCTTCGTTAACTCCTAATAACCCATGTGAAGTAGATTGCCAATGGATGTTAATAATTCAGGATCCCAATGTGGTTGAGGAAGGATTTGAGACCAGTATGATTATTCCCCATGCTGGCTGGTGATTCTGGGAATTGAAGTCCACAAGTCTTAAAGTTGCCCAGGTCAGAGATCTCTGCTCTAGAGTTATAGTTGTTCTCTGGATTCTGAGGAATTCGTTGGTTCGAAATTGGCTGAGGGTAAGCAAGATGAAGTAAAAGTAATCTCAATTTAGCATTTGCAAAAATGTAGAAAATACAGAGATTAAATTAGTATGATAATAAGGATTATTGTATATCAGGCAGGGTTACTTTCTGTGAAATGTGAGGCCATATAAGTGTTATTAATAAATACATAAATAAAATAATAGTGCTTAAATTTTAGTGTCTTAATTTGTATCACTTCCAGCAGTTGGTTTGCTAATAATCATATTCTATAATTTCTGACGTTTCTTCATTAAATGCTCCCCAAACAATAGCTGTTTGTACAGTTGAGGGTTTTTTTTCAAATTATAGCAAAATAACAGAAAAAAAGCATACATATAACTTGGTTAACATTGCAATATAATAGTAAAATTAAAGGAAGAAAACGCCTGGAAATCTGTATCATAAACAAAATTACTTTTTTAAAAAGTTAACTAAATTGAACAAAAGTTGTTTTTGACCATCTTACTGAAAATGACTAATTAAAACAGTAAACATTATATCAATAATCTATTACTACAATGCAGGTAGTTCTCGACATATGACCACAATTGAGCCCAAAATTTCTGTTGCTAAGCAAGACAGTTGTTAAGTGAGTTTTGCTCCATTTTATGACCTTTCTTGCCACAGTTGGTAAGTGAATCACTAAGGTTGTTAAGTCACTAAGATGGTTTTTAAATGAATCTGGCTTCCCCATTGACTTTACTAGTCTGAAGGTCGCAAAAGGTGATCACATGACCCCGGGACATTGCAACTATCATAAATATGAATCAATTGCCAAGCATCTGAATTCTGATCACATGACCAGAATCACTTGCAGCGGTTGGTGCAACAGTTGTAAATGTAAAAAAAAAAGTCTCAAGTCCCTTTTTTCAGCCTTTGTAACTTTGAATGGTCACTAAACAAACTGTCGAGAACTGTCTGTACTTGTGTATGTATAAGCCTATCCATGGATAGGCTGACATTTAAATTTTTGTTTTTACTAAAATGCTATGAAAAGTGTGCCACCCGTAGCCAGGTTTTTCATAGTATTTGGATTAAAAATTTGAGGATCTTCTGTCCATGAATGGGCTTTTCCATGAGTCATACAGGGTATATGGGTACCTTTTAAAAAGTTTTATTATACATTCTTCCAGATAAGCTCAGCTACGGATAAACTAATTTGGGGGGGGTGTTATATTTTGGCACCTAAAATTCCCAGTTTATACATGAGCATGTACAGTAAGTGTATATTTGCCTTTCATTTTTGTATAATGATCCTTTTGACCTGTATCTGATAGATACATGAATTTATGGAAATTTTAATTCAGGTAGTCTTATTGTAATTGGGACCAGCAACTCTGTCGCTAAGTGATGCAATTATAAAGCGTGATATCACATGATCCTGCTGACTTATGACTTACACCCGTTCCAATTGGTGTCATTAAGCCACTCCCCATGGTCAGCATGCCAAAATCACGTGATCACCATTTGCAACTTCCTGCCAGCTTCCCCATTGACTTTGCTTGTCAGAAACTGGCAGTGAAGGTTGGAAATGAGGATCACAAAGATGTCTCTGTGACACTGCAACTATCATAATTATAAGCCTGTCACCAAGCGCCCAGATCATGATTACATGACTGCAGGGATGCTGTGATGGTCGCAATTATGAAGAACAACATTAACTTCTCTTCATTCAGCACTGTTGTAACTCTAAACAGTTGCTGAATGAGTGTTCATTCAACAAGGACTATCTGTAGTGTGAAATAAATATCTACATTTATGGAAACTAAAAACCTACAATTGCCAGGGGTTTTTGCTTTAAATTATTCCTATTTCTGTATGAAGTTTTTACAGCTCCGTTTCTTTTTTCAAGCTCCTGCTTGAACTTTTGTACTACTTTCAGCTGCCCTGTTCATAAATTTAACACTTACATGCATAACATAAATTTAGAACTTACAAATTAGAAAACTCAAAGATCAGCTTATTTCAAGTAACACAATGACTGATGATACAAGAATCTTGACAGGAAAGCCACAAATCCATCAGGCTGCTAGAGATACTTAGCAAAATTACTGAGTACATGTTATACCTTAAATTCATAACTTCTACATTTTTACATTTCAGAGGGGAAGGTTATAACCAAAATACTGCTCAAATAGAAGATTGACTATTCCAATTTTGCAAGCATTTTGCATCTTAAATCATAACTGACTGAATGAAAGATTTTAGTTATGGATTTCAATCTGATAAAGCAGTCAAATGTTTTGGTCATATGGTCAAACATCATGACAGTCATTAAATGGGTTGGTCATATGGCCAACCTGATTTTATAACCTTTTTTTGCAGCAGTGGCTGTTAAGTGAATCAGTGGTTTGCTATGGGTGCAAATTTGCCAAAACCCAAACTATTTCATTGAGGGCCGCATCAAGGTTGTGTTTGACCTCAGGGGGCCAGAGTGGGCATGGCCAGGGTGGGCATGGCCAGCTCAATGTCACTTGGGTCTGGGGTGCCTGTGGTGGCCCAAGCACTCTGTCAGCAAAAAAGGGCTCCCAAGCACCGTTTTCGACTGTGACGGCCTCCTCCAACCCTTTGCCAGCAAAAACGGAGCTTGGGAGTGCCACCTGTGGCCCTCCCGAGCTCCGTTTTTGCTGGCAGAGGCCCCTTGGGCCAGTCCTTTGCTGTTTCCAGGGCGGCCCTGTGGGCCAGATCTAAGCACCCCATGGGTCAAACCCAGCCTTGAGTTTGACACCCCTGGGTTATATTTAAAAATACAATGTTATTATGCTTTGATCTTTTCAATTGTTGTGCTTCAATTGTTTTTTCATGCAGCTAGCATTTGTACATGTGCTTTTGCAATATCTTAATTTGGATAATACTAATTTGTATAATGGTCTGTTTTTGCCCAAGCAAACTTAATGACACTCTTAAGGATCACCAAAGCATAATTACAAATAAAAATGAATATTTATATTTTTTTTTTCTTCCATTTCTAGTTGGTAAACAATTTGATTAACTGCCCCACTACCCAATGGACTGAACAAAATGACACTATTCATTTTTATCAAATGTGCCAAAGACAGCTGAAATTGCATACTGCTTAACAGTAATTTATTTGCTTCTATTTGCAGTGCATTGATGTCAGAGGAATTCATTTGTTTACGCTGTGAAAATGACTTGTGAAATGAGATCTTAAGAATCATTAGTATTGGAGTAGAAGAGCGACAAACCCTCCAAGAAATTGTTCACTTCAGAAATCAATATGGTCTATTTTCAAGTACTGCATTATGATTATCACAGAATCCATAAAATCAAAGATTCAAGTGTTTTTCTCCTCATTGACTCTACAAATCTATTTGGGCAAAATCATGTATTTAAATCAAGATAGGTTGAGAATGCATTAATGTATTAATCTAACTTTTAGAGCACGTTTAAAAGTGCATTGGGAACAGACAATGTGGTGTCTTCCTGGTGTGTTAGTCTTAGCTACCACTGGTGGCTGAACATTATGAGAATTTTAATCCAAAAAAACTGAAATGCAGCAACTTGCCTCTCCAAGGCTTTATAAAACAAGAGGTAACCACATTGTTGTATTAATTAAAATCACCAGGATGTGTTTAAAAAGTGTGATTTTTTTTAGTACATTAAGCCTTTTTATATTTTGTATATGTGTTTATGCTAAAAGTTCTAAAAATGCCCATTTAAAAGCTTAATATAATGTATCTGTTAGCAATATTTTATGCAACATTTATCAGCATTATTTAACATGTCGTAGGGAAGTTTAGATTACTCCAGGTAGTTTGTTGTTCCAGAGCACATATATTGACCTGATCTGACATTTATTCTTCAATGAGTAGAGCACGGCTCTATCCTGAGCTGTAAATTTGCTTGTTAGCTTTTGCATGCTGTTTTTCCGTCCTGAAGTTCAAGGCAACTTCCATTTATCTCCACAACAACAATAATTCTGTGAAGTGGTTTCATCTGAAAGAGATGTAGGTGACCAGCCCTAAGTCATCCAAGAAGCTTCCATAGCTCAGCAGGAACTTGGATCTTGGTCTCCTCAGACTCGGCATTTTACCCGCTACACCACACAGATTTTCATTTATCCATTTAAAATCTTTGTATCTCTCTGCCCTTGTGTTTCACACATTATGTTCTGCTTGCGTGCTTGTGTTTTGAAAACAATCTTTTTAAAAATGAGCAACCAGTTTTAAAACATAATTGATGAAGAACCATTTTAGGTTGCTAAGCAAATTAGCAGCGGGAGGAATCGTTGGTCTTGGTGATCTGTAGTTTCTGCTTAATAGCCAAAGGAAGAAAAGGCCAGCAAGCACACTGCTCATTCTCTACTCTGCATTTTCAGAGAGCCATGTGAAAATGTAGGGCGAAAATGGATGGTATTCCAGGTAAAATAGACAGGGTTTAATCAAATGAGCACCATTTTTCTTCTTCATTCTATATAATGTCAAGTATGGAGAAGACAATT